CATTCTACCTATGTTTACTGAGTGCCAGCTTTTTGCCTGAGGACACAGCAGTGAATACAGTAAATATTCACACTATTTATTTTGGAGCATAAAAATTACAACTACTAACACTTTTAATGTTAAAATATTACTGATACTATTTGTATAACTAACAGTATTTTAAACATAAACAACTTTTTAGGAAAGGGTCATAGAAATTCTTTCCAAAAAAACATGCTGCCTGAAGTATAACCGATATAAATGCAATTACACAACTCATTTTATACAATGATGAAGTGATAATGCAGAAAAACTGTCATAACACACTGCAGGCATATAAAACATAGGTAAAAGAATAGAAAAAATGTGCAAAAATTAAAAGAGGGTGGGGTTGTGAGATGTTGCTAAATATCTAAGACATGACATAATTTATGTGATGATAGCAACACAGTGTTTTGCAACAGGGTAATTAGGAATCAGGTAAAGAATCTGAGAGTCAGTTTCTACTACGCCATTTTCCTCTCTAACAAATGTTTTTATGTGTATCTTCATAGTTCTTTTATACTTCTTCTTAAAGTCTATCTGGAAAAAGAAAAATAAAATAAAATAAAATAAAATACCTAACGTTCCCCAAGACATTTCACCTAGGCAGCTACTTCACACTTCAGTTTCTATAAACTGCTAATGAATAAAAGGGAAAGAAAGGGATGAAAAAAGTGAATCTTTGAACTGAGCAATTGGGAAAAGCAAAATTCCATGTTAATTCCATGTTGAAGTCCATTACTTATGGAGTTTAGGCCAGTTAGGGGACCACCAACAGACTGGCTTTCCTCTTGATATTGTCACACCACTTCTCTTTAAAACGAGAGAGAGAGAGAGAGAGAGAGAGAGAATTTTAAAAAAGGAAAAAAAAAAGTAAAGGCATTAATTATGACAATGTTTTAGCAGCCATTTTAACTTAGAAAATGTAAATTCTTAAATCAGCAGATGGGGAGATTCAAAAAAGGAGAAAACTACTGAAAATATATTTGTGGGGATGCTTGACATGGAATCTTAAGGACACCTCTACTGAAAGTCGAGAAAAAGCTCTAGAAAAATAATCTGTAAAATCGAGTAAATGTCCAGATACACATACACAGTTAAAGGAATTTACGGAAAATAGCAAATGAAAAATATCTCTACCAGTTTTCAAACACTTTTCCTTTCTGCTGACTTTGCAAATGGAGGGTTTTTTTGTTTTTGTTTTTGTTTTATTACTCTGGTCATAAAAGTCTATGTTAAGAGAAAGAAATTAGTTAAGGCAGGCTTTATAAGCTAAAAAATTAAAATCTTATATAAAAATCATTGAGACATTACCCAAAAAAGCTCAGTAGTTATGGACTAGTTTAGAATTATATATAATTTTTTAGTAATAGTTCCTCAAAATTTAAAAATGTATTTCTACTAATAATTTAACTGTCCACTTATGTATGTTTGTTAACACTTAAATGTTTCAAATCAAGAAAAAGATATACTTTCAAATTAATCAGAAAAAGAGGTACAGCCACCTCAAGTTGAGGGAGGAACTAAAGCAGCACTCATCTCATTAATATCGCTGAAGGTTATTTTTACACATTTTCCAACTACAGAAATATCTTGCACTCTTAACCTGGAGGCTTATCATTTTTGAAGAAAAAACCTCGGAGCAGTGTTTAATTGTATGTGGTTTTGGATCACCCATCACGGAATCTCCTGGGGTGCATTTTAAGAATGCAGATTCCAATACCCCATTTCCAGAAATTCTGAACCAATGGGTCTGGAATGGGCCCAGAAATATGGGATTCTAATACACAACTAAAGTGATGGCCTTAGAAATAGTAATCCATCTCCCTTCTTTACATTATGCCATTTAAACCTAGAGAGACTAAATTACCTGAGCCAATTAGTAGCAGAGCAAGAATGAAAACCCATAACTGCAACCTCTCAGTCCAGTCTTCTTTGCAGTAAATGAGATTCCTCTTTAATAACTCATCGACATATGGCTGTAATAACTACCCTTCCACCTCTATCTACTGCCTGTTTACTCTCTCTAGAGTGACTGCCAAAGTAAATTAGTAAAACGATATAAATTCGAGGCAAGAAAAATGAAAATACTTCCTATATTAGGGTGGTGTGGGTCAATTCCCTTATTTTTTATTCTATTCATGCTTTTAAGTTATAGTATGTGGTCAATAAGTTCACTGTTTTAAAATAAAAATAATATAAATAATTATGCTCTGTTGCATAGCACTACATTAGATACAAAACAAATCAAGATAAATTAAGAGATTTGAATCTCGCACTACTTACATTTTTATGATGAATAGATTTTTTCCATCACCTTTGAAAAATACACAACTCTGTGTGTATGTACACGTGACTGTGTGTATATAAATCTTTTAAAAGTTGCCCCATACTATTTTACTATCCTTTAGTTCTTTTCCTAAAAGGAAGATTGATGCTTTCACTGGTATAAAGCCCTCTGCTTTCAGGAGAAAAACTCCTTACTTAGCATGTCACAAGGCTCTTGACGTGTGCTTCACCAAGAGAGAAAACCAAGTGCAGCTTTTCTCTGGAGAACACGGTGTATGCCAGAATGTAAACACAGGTGGAAACAGAATGGTTATGTCAAGGCCTGAACATACAGGGCCTTACTTATTTACACAGTCTTGAACAACTAGTTCTTTAAGACTTGACTCAAGACCAATTCCCTTAAGATATGACTCCACATGATACGGTGTAATTAAACACACAAACAATACTAGACATTTTTAAAGGTGCTAATATACAGAAAAGGACTTGAAATACACATACATCAAACATGTTTACTTATGAAAAGATGGAGAGGGGCCCAGCCTCAATGCTTTAACGTTTTAAGAGAACATATTCATTACTTGAGTACATGGAAATGTTTCTAATTCCTAAACTATGTTAAACACCCCTTTTTGTGCACCTCTCTGTAACTCCTGCACAATCTAATACAGCACTGAGCTCACCATCCATCATAAATGCTGGTCTTGCTTGACTTTTCCTCCCAGAAGTTAAGACTTGTGTCCTCCTTCTCAGCAAGGACATCATTTTTAGAGTGTCTGGCATGGTATACAATGTTTATTGAATGCATACTCTGAAACCCATAGGCAACTAAATTGTTCAACGAAAAATCCAGATTCTTAGGCTATTTCTAAAAGGTCACAGTCATAAAATTTCTTTTCAACCTAGACTTTAAAAAGGCAGTTGGTATACTGGTTAAGAAACTAGGCTTAGAGTTATAAAGTTCTGGTTTTACATTAAACTCTGCATGATAAACTGGAATCACCAAATTATTTAATTCTCATTTTCCTTACCTATAAAACACAGATGAGAATATCTTCCTTTTATATATGTGGGGAAGATTAAAAGGGAATGTTTACAAATTAATTAGCATCATACCTGGTACTCAACAAATGGTAATCATTATTAAGGGCACCCACGATTACTAATACCAAAGCAGTAATTTCATATAATTTTTGGAGAATTTCAGAATGTGTTAGTATAGCATTAAAAATATCTATCTTACTTTTAGAGAATAACAAGCTTAGAAAATCTAGGTAATGTGAGCAATGAAACTAATAATTCGAAGTCCATCAGATCTGTGCAAGTAAAAAATGAATACTTCAATTAATTTGGCAGAGTAACTTCCATACTGATACATGCGAATGATGCATTTTTAACCATCATTGAAATAAGAAAAGTTTTAATCATCTTACTTCACTGAATAAAAATGTTCATATTCAGTTCATACACATTATTAAGCTGTACATCACTATTCTTCTTGGGGAATATGCTAACTATCCACGTTATTAGTATGTCGATAGTGCTCAATGATGCCTTCCAAAGTTAATTGGCTAAAAAATCTTATCCAAAAAAACGTAGTAAGTTCACACTGAAGTTCATAGGATGCCTTAGATAAAGATCTGTAGTTAACTTTTTTGAAACTGTTTGTTTTGATATCCTTATTTTTGTAATGAAAATAGCATTTATATTTCACCTTACCATAACCCAATTTAATGTAACATGAGTTCACCTTAAATCAGATATCCAAAGTGCACACTTTAATTCTACAAATAATTATTAAGCATCTAATATATTCCAGGATGAAAGATTTTAAAAAGTTATTCCCAAAAAGGGGTAAAGAAAGAATTTTCTTATGCATATTAAAAACCAAAAATGTTAGAAAAGAAAGTCTGCAAAATCAAATGAAGCTAACAGGATTTGTTAAAACTTTATTTTACCATCAGTCTCCTTAAAATATTTAAATTCTCTATTGAGCCTTTTGATATTAATCAACCCAACAATTCAAGTCTATTTTACTTATGTACATGTGATATGTGTGTATAAAAGTGTGCATGTTTATGTGTGTATATTTACACATACATATATACACGTGTATATATACACATATATACATACACTGCACTATATATAGTCTCTAGTAATATACACATATAGAGCGCATATATACAGTGTCTAGTAAGTCATTTTGTCTGTAAGAAACTTATCTGCTCAAAAAAACAAAAAGATCAATAAAACCCTGTAAACTCAAGCAAATATGTTACCTGTGTTTATTATTTTCTATCACAAAAATAAAAGCAGCACAGCAAGCGCAGAACTGGGAATATTTCATCAACAGCTGTAATAGTTAATTGGGTCTTAATTATTCTTTCATGTAGTTTCATACTGTTACCTCAACTAAAGACTACTGTTCAAAAATAATTTTCAATGATTCTATTTCCTAAGTCCCTTAAAAAGGTGATATCCAGCCTCAAATTTGATGTAGATACTTTCCTGCTGGTGGAAACATTGAGGAAATTCAACAAAACTGCTCTTTCTTTGTTACCTTAAGTGGAGCACTCAACACAAAAGCAAGACTCTATAAGTAAAAACACTAATAATTCTAACAAACAAAGCACAGTGGTTACTAAAATCAAAAAGCAGCAATTTGCAATGACTGTAACAGAGCTCACCTGTTCATTTTTGCAAAGCCACACACTATTTCCACTTAACACAGTAAAAATTTTGGCTTTATATCCTCTCAATTCAAGATATCCACATTTCTCAGGTGTAACAACCGCTTGAGACTGCAAAGATAGCGACTCTGATTTCAGTGCGTTTAAGAGTATGCTGATCCAGTCATTTCTTTCCTCTGAAAATAAAGACAGGAGAAAATACATAAATCCATATAAAAGTTATATAAACATAGAAACAGCAACAAGAAATCTATTCTCTTTGCAACAGATAGTTCAGATTCTTTCCTACAACCACAATCTAAATGCTACTGTAGAAAGGACCAATGACCCAACTCTTTGAGGGAAAAGGAATAACACTACTCCCAGAACCAGTACCATTGGCTTCACCTGTGAGCTTATTAGAAATGCAGGCTCCACTCTAGACTGGACAAATCAGAATCTGCATTTTAAAAAGAACTATAGGTGATCTGTATTGCTGCTAATATCCAAGAAGCATTCTTTCAGATTATTCATGAGACCGAAGTTTCTCTTTTAATGGAAGAAAGTAATATTGCTATCCAGCAAGTAACAGATTTTACATGGTAAGTCAGTTACCAAATACTCAGAAAATCTTACTTTCTAACAGTCATTTGGAACCTACTCTACTCGGTAGTATGCCTGCCTTGATCTTCACTCTCTGATTCCACTCTCACCACAGTAACTAACAATAGCATCTCTCCTGTCAAATTAAAACTTGGTTCTCCCACTCCTTCCACAAAAGCTAAGTGACCTTCAACTACAAACAACTCACTGTGTTACTAGCATAGGAATTTGATCTAGTCCTCAAGCAGCAATTAAAGCTATAAGTCACATTAGATCAGAACACATAATGGAACACAGAACAGTGTAAATGTCATACAAATGATATCAAACTAGGAGTCAATTCAATTGAGGTAAGTGATGTGCTGAAAGTCATATAACGAGTTAGTGCTAACATTAGGAGAATCAACTGTTTCAACTCTTGACTATTCTTGACACCATAAAACAAAGGAAGTCTTGAGGAAGAGGAGCAACTCAAAAGCTTGGTAGAGGGAAGAACAGAATGATTCTGAGCAGAGGATAACACAAGAACAAAAGCAGGAAGAACTAACATCCATTAAAGGACTAACTTATAGATGAACATATTTATTAATATAATTTTAACTCACAAGGAAATAATGGTAAAAATGACAATAGAATCTCTACTGCCTATTTAAGGAATTTTAAGGCAAAAGAAATCATTTCGGGATTCTTAACCAAACAAGGCCATGATTAGGACAACGTGGACGATCACAGACCAAACTGGATGTCTGGAGATCAGGAATTAGGCAATAGAGACTTAAAATATAGTGAAAATGGAAATAAAAGAATATGTAAAGAGTCAAGACATTTAGGAGAATGAAAAATAGTGAATACGTGTGTTAAAAAAAATAAATTACTGAGAGCAAAAGGTAACTTAGCATCTGAATTGGCTAGGCTAAGGAGGCAGGAGGATCCAATTAATTAACAGAACTACCTCCGATTTTCAGCACCCTGGCATGAGCATCTAGGCAGACCGACAGCAATGTATGAACAAAGGTAATCTGTACGAGAGAAGACCCATGGAAGTGGATAAATGTTTAATGTAAAGGGAGAAGAAATGGACAAACCTTGGTGTAGAATTCTACCTATGAGTCTGGAAAGTAGGCTATCAAAACAAGGAGAGAAGTGGTTATCAAGGCAAATGGAAACAAAACAGACTGAATCTCAGGGAGGAAAACCTTTCAAGGAGGAAGGAGAGGAAAAGAGCAAATAGGACCCAATTGGGAAATCAGAAGCTTTCTCAGATACTTCTAAGACAACTCTGCCCAGAATAACTTCATTGTGGATTGAAATAAGTCTTTGTATTAAACCTGTTCACTTTCAAACATGAATATAGTTATTTCATATTAAGTCTTAATTTTTAAATTATCTTCATGTTTGCTCACCTTCAAAACTACTAAAAACAGTTGGTTGTCTTTAATGACCAAAGCCCAAGTGTTGATTAAAAACTCATTCAACAATGTTTTCTTGCAGATATTACATAATCCCCCAAGAATTGGTGGTTGTTCCTATATATCAGTATAAAACATCTATCAAATGTCCCCGGCATTGTGATATGTCACAAACTAAACAACATGGAAATATTCAGGTAGCTAAGTCAATGTCAATATGCAGCAGCTACTCTACAATTTTACATCTGTATAAGCACACCCAGATTGCACTACAATAATTTGTTACCGTTTTAGTAACAGCAATAGACCTTTCACTTTATTTGCTTATTACATGGGATCATTAGTTTCACACAAGATATTTCTGCCAAGTAAATGGTATATAATGGTTTTTGTTTGTGTTAATCCACACCAATCAATGAGTTTGAAATGTAGGTTATAATTTAATAAACTGAGCCTAAGTGGTTGTGGCTTTTAGATTACTGTAGTATACACCTTAGTTTCTCAAGAATTAATTTGAAACTGTCAATTGCACCTTTTGGACTTAAGCATATTTTGGCTGCATCTCAAGACATGATTCCCTCACAGCCGAGAAGAATTATCTAGCTCCTGAGCACCCCAGTTACTAATGGGAAGTAAACAGTCACGAAGAGGAACAGGAACTAATAGTAACATTCAGTTTATTCTTTATTGCCCACGCCAGGAGAGAGACATGGTAGAACAGATCGTTCAAATATAACAAAAGAGATGACAAGTGTCGTTTGCACGTGGCTGTGCAATGTGTGCAGCCTCAGAGGCGGGGGACACGCTTTCAAAAGTCACCATGTTCCAGACTAAATAGCGCTTTCCCTTTGGACAAGTGTCCAGGGCAAAGTCGGACACTAGGCGAGCGCTTCCTTTATTCTTTCCCATAACAAACACCCACTGAGTGTCTGCCTTGATCTTAGCACTGTGCGAAGCACCTTTCCCTCTGAACACAAGCTCCGACCCAGAGTGGCTTTGCCCCAAGCATAGAACAGAGAAGAATAAGAATAAATGTTGAAATTGCCACTTTCTTGTGCTTACGCTAGACTGTAATAAAAGACAACAGAAATTTCCCAAAACCTCAAAATAGTTATTGATGTTTTCAGGAATAAAAGCCTAAAGTGTAAGAATCAAAAAAAGAGGTTAAAAAAGGTCAACAGGAGAGACAACACTCTCTGAACTACTAGATTTATCAGTAGGCATAATCATTAGTAACAAAGGATGTATTATACTAGCAATCACTACATAAGGGCCATGTATCAATGACATAATCTAATAAAGTTTAGCTGGACTCTTTCTTTTGATATGATAATATGGCCTAACTAAAGATCCTTCAGTATAACCCACGATCAATATTAGAGAAGGAATCATTGCACATCACGGTTGTTTTTCAAATTGATAACCACTCATTCATACAAATATTTACTGAGTGCTTAGTATGTTCCAAGATCTATTCTGAATACTAGGAATGGAGAAATGAACAAGATAGATCATGAACTTATTCTCTTGGAATTTACACTGTAGGGAAAGAAGGAAGGCCGTAAGAACTTGGATATATAATTTATTGCACAGTAACAAGTACAATAACACATAGCACAGGATGAGGGGCTTAGGGAGCATAGGGCAATAGAAAAGCCTCAGAAAGGAGGAGATAACTAACCAAAAGCTTAAAGGAAGTGAAAGTGATGAGCAAGCCGGAGAGTGGCGGGAGGAAGAGCATTCTAGGATAAGAGAACGATGTATGTCAAGGCCCCGAAGCAGCAGAAACAGCAGCAGGTCTGGCATATTCAAGGTAGAAGAAGCCCCTGTAGTTGAAATGTAGTGAAGCGGGGAGGGGAGGGAAGGAGGGAAGGATGGGGAGACCAAGGCCAGACCATGCAGGGCTTTCGGACATCACAAGTGCTTGACCCTCAGTAAGACACAGAGGCAATGAGGCATGTGAAGTGGACTGACGTGCCCGGACTTTCTTGGTGAATGCTCACTCTGACAGCTGTACTGAAGGTATGCACGTAGTTGATCAAGAGAGCTGATTAAAATATCCAGACAGAGGTGGCGGCTTGCAGCAGAGTGGTAGCAGTGCAGTGGAGGTGTTGAGAATTGGTCTAGACATATTTTCAAAGCCAAACTGACATGATTTGCTGATGGGCTGGATGGGAGATACGAGAGAAGGAAAAGATTCAAGAATGACTTCACACTTCGGGGCCTAAGCACCTAGGACTTCTACTTATGAAGATGGAGAAGATTACAGGAGAAGAAGTGTTGTGGAGGGGGTGGAAATAGGAGTAAGGACATATGGAGTCTGAGATGCTGCTAAGCAGCCGTGCTGAGATAAGTAGGCAGCCAAACACACGATTCTGGAGCCAGAGATGGAGATGCACACTGGCCATCGGTCACCTTAAAACCGCAATACACAAGGAGTGCAATGCGCACTACCCGAAGGATGGACATATTTGAAACACGGACTTCGGTGGGGGGGGGGAACCAAGGGCAACACACGTAACCTAAACGTATGTACACCCATAATTTGCTGAAATAAAAAAAAAAAAAAAAATTTCTGACACTAGCGCAAAAAAAAAAAAAAAAACCGCAAGACCTGCCCCAGAACCAGACTTGGGACCCCACAATAGAACATTTCAGAAGGAATTTGGGGTCCTAGCAAGTTCCTGAAATACGTGTCAGGAACTTCCAAAATACCATGATAAAGTCTATAAAGAAGACACTTAACAACCCACCACTGAGATTAAGTGAAGTGAGAAAGTACAGAGACAGTAAATGTTTCCTGTCTTGCTTCTAAAACCAATGAAGACTGCAAAAGAGGTAGAAGTCTGCTTGCCCAAAACAACTAAGGGGAATTTATATGTGTCTTATGCTAGGTATTCTTTAAATAAATATTTTTAATTAAAAAAAACAAACTTTCCCATATCAGTATCACAGCTGCCCCTGGAGAACTGCATGATGTTGTTTAAAAGAGAATCGAGAGCGTGACATACTTGCCTGTTTCCCAGGTGGCCAGAATCTGCTAAGGTGGACAGAAACAGAGCCTGCAGCTGAGAGTCAACAACGAAAAATGGCCCTGGGAAGGAAACGCCCACTCAGAAGTCTTAAGCTCTCTTCTAACCATGAGAACCACCCACTCAGAGCACCGCCTGTGTTGTAAAGTAACACATCTGCATGTGTGACCACAGGTGCCACAAGAATACAGACTAACTAGGGAGATCATTAGCTGTTAGGACCCTTAAACCAATTCCAATAGTTCTGCTTGAGAAAAGGCGTCAGACCGAATTTTGCACTTGGGAAGAGTATTTTTAAAATGTTATCATTTCAAGATAATTCACTTTCAGCTAAGGGAATAACAACATTTCACTAAGAAACCTGGAGAAATTGAAGCTTTGGAAATTCTGTGGAGAAAAGATGCCAAATTGTAATCCTATCTTGTAATGTCAGTGCACCCACAATTCAAAAACAGCGACTGATTTCAGGGAAGACTGTTGTACATGTCACTTAAAACCTTTTCACCAAAAATGAAAAATTCATCTCTGTTAAGATGTCAAACCCTTTCTGTTCTAAACTTTGATTTTGCTTCTTCGTTCAATTGAAGCAAACTTTAATTTAGGTTAAAGTTCATTAAGTCAAATTTTTCATAAGCCACTATAGTTGATTTCCCAGTTCCCACAAAATAAAAAATAATCAACCATTTGTATACATGGAAGGAAGAAAGAGCACTTAATAAAACACATTTAGTATCTTGTTGAAGGTGTCATAATAAATATATAAACACATACATAAATATATATGCATACATACATACTTATCTTTAAAAATGTGAGTTGTTCAGTATATAAAAGTAATTTTCAATCAAAATAACTTATTCAGCAATTTCATATGGATACAGCCTCAGTTTTTACTGAAACACTATTTCCATGGTTTCAAAAATTAAAGACCTATAACTTGTTTAACAAACAATAAATTTATACCAAAGTTAATGAAATTCTTATATTGTACTAAGTTTACATCACAAAGATGAACCATACACCACAGAAAGATTTATTGGTCAACTGTGAACATGTAACTTTTAAACATGCGTGGGTTGATACATTCTACTTAAATAAAATGTGTTTAACTTCTAATGTGGCAAGTAAATATGGCCAAACAGATTTTCACACAAGTTGGAAGCTTTATTTAGTACGTCTATCTTAAAACACATGCTATGTGGCGTATGCAGAATTCACTCTGAGAGGCCAAGAGGAAGGTGATTTGCACCTCAAAGCAACAGTCAGTTACCTTTCAGCGTAGTGGAAACCAAAGTACAAAGACAGACCACCATGATAGCCAATCGAGAGAAGCAACGCCACGTGTTTCAATAAATACAGAAAGAGAAAAAGTGTGATTTCAAATATAAGTCAACTGTAGACAAATTTCGAATTTCAGTGTTTCACAAAAAGTGACTCCTCTCACATGCAATTCTAGGACAGCGGCTGGCAAACTTTTTCTGTAAAGGGCCAGATAGTAAATATTTTAGGCTTTACTGGTCATGCAGTCTCTGCCACAACTATTCAATGCTACCCTTGAGGCACAAAAACTGCCATAAGACAATATGTAAATAAATGAGAGTGGCTGTGAGCTGATAATATTTTATTTATTAAAACAGGGAGGCAGCCAGATTTAGCTTGCAAGCCACAGTTGGCTTACCCCTACATAGTTTTCATTTAACATTTGCCTTAAAATAACAAGAACATTTTTTGTGTTACACATACATACTATATACATAGACATGTTTCACAATATAACATTTACTATAAGCAATGCACTTTGGTATTTCTTGTTTTATGTTTTGGGTTTTTTTTTTTTTGTTTTTCTGTTTTTTTAGGGGGGAGGTTTTCTATCATTATAAAACAGTAAGTTGATCTCACAAATAGGTAGTAATCCAGTCTGAAAAAACCTGCCCCAGTGTGAAGGGCAGCTGGGAGAAATTCATTTATCCAAAGCAACAATGAAAACTTTCTAGTAATATAGAATATATACTGAATGCTTTCTCTGGTGCCATGCACTGACATATGGTCTAGGAATCCAGCAGTTTAAAAAAGAGGACAATGTTGCCCCATAATAATTAACACTGTAGTAGTTTCCAACTGGTGATGAATACTCTTATTCACCTCCAGTAAAATGGGATAATAATTGTAATACTACCTATAAGACTGTTGTTAAAATGAACAATTTAGCAGAGTATCTGGCACACATCGAGTATTCAGTAAATTTTTCATGCATTGTTCAAATAATTGAGCACCAAGAAGTACTCCTAAAAATTAAGTTGAATTATACATCTATATCTAAATAAAAGTCATCTTTAAAATAAGTTAAAATCCAAATTCTTTAATTAATGAGAAGGCTTTACCTATATTATTTGAAACTACTGAGATTTATAGTAATGATATACTATGATAGTCAAACAAAATATACAACAGAGAACATTTCATTCCTCTGGCTCCTCCCTCCTCCGTGAAACAAAATTCAGAAAAGATTTCTCTGCACACCTTTAAACTCAATCCAGAAAACAAATGCTGTCCTTAGATCAATCTTTGCCACCGAGTGACCCATAGATGATGTAGATGGAAAGAATCCAAGAAATATAAAAGATGTTCCAATATCTATAATAGAATGATTATGGTGCCTGTACAGTCAGCTAAGACCTGCCACATATAAACTTCCATAAAACCAACTTTTAATAGAAAAATTGTTTTTGCATACTAAATAACTATTTTGCATTAACAAGACAATACCTCAAAGGTGAGCTCCAGGAAAGCAGAAATTTCTGTCTACTTTTTTTTCATTACTATATACCTGGAACTTATTAGACTCCTTGACACTTAATAGCTTCTCACTAAATATTTGTTGCATCAAAGAATAGTAAACAACAAAGAACTTGTCGATTTATTTACGTTTTAATGTTATGGATTTAAAATTAATTTAAAATGTAAATTATTTAAAATTAACATATTTAAAGGTTTCTTGACATTTCTAGTTTAACTAGTTTATTAATATGATTGGCCAGAAATTAATGACTGAACATTTTATAGAGATAAAGAAATAATCTTACCTTCTTTTTCTACTCTAAAAACAAAAGTTCTTTGTGTTGTAACAACTTCAAATTTGTTGTCTCCTTGGACTCGTACTGTTGATATAGCAGAAAGTGGAATTATTCCTTTTGAATACATTTCCTGTATAGGTTAGAGAAAAAGATAAAGAAAACTCATGAAAACAAAGTTCTCTTGATCTCATAAAAAAAAAAAAAAGAATGGCACAGTAATTATAACTGCTTCTCTTTCATAATTTCAATCTAAATTTTAAAAATGACATATAGATGTTTGCTTATACACTAATTTAATACCCAAGGAAAAAAACTATTAAATGTCCCTTTCTTCTAAGTAAGATGTCTTTTCAATTTTCTCTTCATCTGGAATTAAAATGCAAAAAATCAAGTACAAACAATTCTACTAAACTGGCAATATATAGTTCCAAAAAGCAGCAGCATGTTCTTCGAAACAAAACAATCTGGTCAAAATGATTTTATGGTGTTTGCAGGCATCTGCTGGCCACAACAGGTACTGTAACTGAACCATTTCAAAATTACTGCTATTACACATTGAGAACAAAATACACCTAAAAAAGTTGTTAGGTTTTATCAATTAACCATATTGCTCAATGATTTTATGACGAGGATCCTAATCTCACATAGTATCACTTTACTTTTTATTCCCCAATGGATAAAGAGTGAGAAAAGATGGACTTGGCTGTTGGCAATCAGCACATCCATATTACAATTTTGTTCAAAATGGTCATTCATAGGACTTTGATAACTTTTCCTCAATCTTCATTTTCCTGGACTCTTTCAAATCACTTGGCATGATGACTACCCCATGATTTCAATTATTTACTAAGGGTGTAAAATTTACTGGGCCCTGCATTGGAAAGAAAAGTCACAGAGTCCTTATACATTCAAGGAGCCTCAAAATACAGCTAATGTGATGAGAGAAAAGTTAAAACAGAGTACAAACAAAGGGATATATATGAGTACAAAGATGGAATTCTCAATTCTATTTAAAAGGGGTGAGAGGTGTTTTTATAAACATGGTGACACTTGAGAATAATGGAGGTGTAAAGCAGAGAAATAAGAGGACAACAATGAGAACCAAAAGAGATGAGGCCACACACACACACCAAGGCCACACTACGGAAGGTCTTGAATATCAGAAGAGTCTGGACACATCCTTATGGTGTCTCTTCTCTTCCCTTCCACAGCTTTGCCCCTGGAACCGCCTCTTTTGAGCAGGTTGCAAGTGTCTGAAATAACTGGTTAGAATAAGAAGGTACTAACCATTCCATGCAGAGAGCAAGTACCAAGTTTATATTCCTCCCTCTGTAAACTCCTATCTCAGCAACAGGTCAGGGATCGTCACCGTCAGCAACATGGCATTGTGACAGGATTATCCTCCTCTGCTAGTTGAGGAGATACACTCTACCACGATGGTATTCTCTTAGTTCTTCAACAGTTTCTTCTCCTTCACTGGCTCTGCTCCAATTTCCCACCCCTGACTTTATGTATCCACCAAAATCCTATCCATTCTTTAATGCTATTTTAAATACCAACACCATAAAGGCTTTCCTATATACTCTCATGCAGCCAAAACTGGAATATATTTGAACTGTGATATAGGAAGATGAAATGAGCAACCTCACTTAGAAAAGGGAGGAGGATGTCAAGAAATAAGCACTTAGAAAATAACTTACTTCTTCTCCTTGTTTTCCAATTTTTTTTTGTTTTATTTTCTCTCCCTAAGAAAATTTCTTGCGTTTCTTTTTTAATTTTAATTGATATATAACAATTATATACATGTATGGGGTACAGAGTCACGCTGTAATACATATGCTGCCTAGTGATCAGATCAGGGTAATTACCTTATCCATCGTCTCAAACAATTATCATTCCTTTGAGAACATTCAGTATCCTCTCTCCAGCTATTTGAGACTATTATGGTTAACTATTACATAGTGATCCTACAGTGCTATCGAACACCAGGACTTATTCCCATCTAGCTGTAATTTTGTAGCCTTTAACAAATCTCTCTATCTTCTCCTTCCACCTATGCTTCTCAGCCTCGAGCATCCTCTGTACTACTTTTTACTTCTATGGGATCAACTTAGCATATGACTAAGACATATTACTGAGAACATGTGGTGTTGAATTTTCTATTCCTGGCTTATTTCACTTAACATAATGTCCTCCATTTCTACCATCATTATGCAGAATAATCTAGTATCTCTCTCTTCCTTATCTATCCACTTCATTCAACTACACTGCCATATTTCAAGTCATCGATAGTATATGTAACTGTCCCATACCACAAATTTTAAAACTGAATTTATTATCACCCAAAGCCCTACCCTCCCTCCATACCTGTCCACTAAAATATCACTCTTCTAGTTAATCAGTCTGAAATAGGACAGAATGGTCTTCGGCCTGTGCTGATCTTTTGCACACACATAACTTGTGCTCTCCCTACATCTATGGCGTCAGCTTCTTCTCTTCCACTCACCAACTCTGAATTCTAGCCACATTGGCCTTCTTGGGGTTCCATGGACATACTACGTTTCTGCCCAAACAAGCACCTTTGCATACACAGTTTGTTCTGCAAGGAATATTCTTCAAACTCACTTTTACGCAGTTACTGCCTCCTCATTCTTCATGTTTCACGATAAACATACCCTCCAGAAGAAAAGTCTTTTTGATCAGCCTCTTCTCTCAGGCTGCTCATCTTCAGCTGGGTAAATAACCCTAGTTTAAGCTAACAGCAACCGGGACTTTTCCCTTATAGCAATTATTCAGTGTAATTTAAATGGTGACTTTATATTTACCTGTGTGATTATTTGATTAATACAGTCTCCCCAAACAGGCTTTATGCCATCTGTCTATTTCCCTCACCGCATTGCATGATGTAGTTGGTACTACAGAAATATTTTCTGAGTGAATCTTATGTTCAATCAATCACAATTATAACAACCTCTGATGGCTCATTTTTAATATTTTTTGAAATTCATTTCTTATCACTTTCACTGAGCCTCTATGTTAGTCTACACTCTGATAAATGAATGCCTGGCTTACTACAACACTCTCCTGGCTTGCCTCTCTGCTCTCAGCTTATTGTCCCTCTAAACTTTACTGTATATTATCGTTCAAATGCCACACAGTTGAAGAAAATGAAGGTTCACAGAGGCGAATAACAAGATGGGTCTTGAAGTCTGCACAGGATTTTGATGGATGGCAATGGCTAGCTGGAAGAATAAAAACATAAAGGGGAAAATATAGGAAAAGACACGCTCAAGTTTCCCACAGTGCGTACTCAAGACATTGCTTAAAAAGATCATCACAAAGAAGTGGAAGACACGATTGGCTTAACAAAGCAAACCCCATAAATGCAAGTAGGCTAAAATGGCAATACAAGGCCAATCTAGAACACTAAGTGTTCTAGCGATTGAGAAGGAGGGAATGTCCTCCCATTGTCGGACACCCACAGGTGGGAAGGGGCACAGCATCTCTGAGGGGCAGCGTGAGGGCCTCGGTCCTGTGAGTTTGTAGTAACTGAGACCGGATAGCAGGAAATTAAGAATGTCCAAAAACATTTACAGTTCATCCCCCAGGTGATCTGTTCCAAAATTTTAGCTTGCATAAGAATTAGAAAAGCTTACAAAAATATACCCTATTGAGATAATTAACTATTTGTTGGTTACCATTAACCCCTTTTCTCAATAGAGAAAAGTCAAGCAGCACTGTCGGGGGGGAAACAGGAATAAAAGAAGATTCTCTTTCCACTAGATTTCCTTAAAGAGACTAAAAAACAATTCTTTAACAACATAAACTATGTACCTATAACACTGATATGATATTATCAGGCAAGTATTTCTGGTAGAATAATACAGAAAAAAAATTCCCAGGTGATTAAAATATGCTTAACAAGCAAAATGCTAGTCACTTTAACCTCAGGAAATTATAGTTTCTCTAAAGGTTCATTTGTAATATGAGATCCCAAAATAAATCTCATAATTTTTAACACTGTAGAGCTAATTTTATATTTCCCTTCTAACAACACAAGACACAGCCAATTGCAGAACAAAAGTACTCAAATGACAGGCTCATTTTTAAGAGTGTCAAATTTTCCTTAAGGAAAGAAATTTTAAAGCACCCCTTGAGCCTGTAACACACAGATATCTAGATCAAGTTTGTCATTTATCTACCACTTTCAGACAATGAAATGACCACAGGGCAATTCTGCCCACAGCTGAGTGGGAATGGGGGTGAGTTAGATTTCTTAGCGAGGGATAAGATATCAAGGGCTGTTGGGATGATGCCATTTTCTGGGATTCAATGAAGTCCTTGCAAAGATATTCGGCACATTGAGAAAAGTCGAAGAAAACTAGGGAAATGGGGAACTCTGCACATTACCCCCAAAATGCCCAACCACATGTTTCTCAAGTGAACATTTAAATATTAAAAGACCCAACTGCTCTGCTCACATAGCCACGAAAATTGCACACCCAGCCAGGATAGTAGTAGCCATGGCCACTCTTACGCATCCCTTTTGCCAGAAGGGTCACAACAGAAACTGTACCTACTTTTAGGAAACACTCACCCCAGTGCTTTTGTATTTTGCCAAAATGAAGCCAATCATCTGGATGGTAAACAGATGAAATGCCACAGGAAACAACAATTCAACTTTTTAAAAAATTGAGGATAAGCTAAATTATTTATAATAACTCGTTTTAATATAAACTTTTAATCTCAATTTCAAACCAAGCCTCCATCAGTATCTAAAAACATGACAGGCTCTCTTTTCTTCACTGCAATTGAGATAAGCTTTAACAGGACGAATTAAAAGAAAAACAGTCCAGTTGGACACAGCTACTAGAAATTCTCTCTCTCAAATGGAATGAGTCTACCACCAACAGAGCCTCGTGGCATGGAAGCGTGTGTCACTACTGGGTAATTTTCCTCCCCATCTCAAACAAACCAGAAAAGGGACCAGGTGCTGAAGAAAACCAGCAGTCAGATTCCATCAGATACACAGACTACCTTGTACTTACCCCAGGCATAGAAATCATCTCAACATTCAAATGGACAAGCAGACTAGAAATAATAGCTAAAGCAGAAAACTGGCTTTTAAAAAATATTCATCCAACCATCTTACAAACCTCAAAGAGGTGTGTTTAAACCAATTGGATGCTTAATTTGGATCATTGCAAGGCAAAACCAAACGAACACTTCTCTAACACTTCTATTATTCTGAGCAATAAAACATGCGGTGTGTGCTATGTTGCAACACACGTTACTTTCTGTTTAAAAGCATATATTCTTCTGCCCTGAAACACTGAAGAAGCAATTTATAAAACGGAGTCTAAATCTCTCTTCAAACCACAGATCCATTATATCTGTGAAAATCTCCAAATAAGGAGAAAATGTTAGATTATGAGCTATAAATAAGAGAATGTGGTTAAGTCTTAAAATAAGTATGTTAAGAGAAAGTATACAGTTAAGACAAAAATCATCTGATTTTAGTTAACTAAATATATGGTAGTATATTTATTAATTCCAACTTTTTATTAAGGAACTTTTCAAACACAGAAAAGTTAAAAGAGTAATACAATGAGCACCCATATGTTCTCCATCTAGATTTGACGATTGATTACATCTTCAGAATTTGTTTTATCTAATTATGCATATGTGCAAATAAACATAAATATTTTCAAATATAAATATATAAAGACAGGCAACATTTGAAAAATATCTGCAGATATAATGACACTGAACCCCTAAATATTTCTGCCTATATCTCCTAAGAATAAAGACACTCTCGTACCTAACAGGAAGGATATACTCAGAACTCTGCCTTGTGTCATTAGGACTCAATTGCTTTAAGAATACATTGTAACCATTTTCACATAACAGTTAAGATTTTCAATGAACTCTAATTCCATTTTAACTTTGTCTTCAAGTCTCCTTTACATACTCCAAAGAGAGAAAACTACTCAGTTATATCACGCATGGTCCACACTTTCCCATCTGGGCATCTACTCCTCTCTGCTAATAGGGCCTGTTTCTCTCTAGTTTCTATATATACAAACAATCCCCTTTCTTCCAGATCCCCGGCAAATGAAATCTCACATAAATGTCTCCCTCCCCAATCACAGATGAAGCAACCGATCCTTGCTTTGCCGTTTTCTTCTGATAGTGTCATCTGTACACATCCCTTGGTGCTCGCTTTGATAAAGACAATTGCTTATTTACTTTTATATTGCTCTTAGGACTTCCTCAGGTTTATAGAAGATACTCCATAAATAACTGTTAAATCACTAAGTAAAAACAAATTCTAATTTTATGTGTCAAGGAAAAGTTAAATTATGAAAAAAGAAAAGAAGAGTGTGTTTTATCCTATTTAAATTTCTTTCATGTTTATAATCCACCTCCTATTCTTGAAAACCAAATCACTTGCTTAGTTTACTGAAGTACTCTTAGTATGCGTAAAGCAATCTTTGAAAACTGTAAAATGTATTTACCTTCTCATTATTGTAGTAAGAAATGCTAAGGCCATCAAATTTCACCCATCTCTTCTGAAACATGCGTTTTCTGCAAAACATATGAAATTGTTATTTTATGTTCAAGTACCATGAACTTAGATTTTAAATGCATTTGTAATATAACTGTATAAATGTATTCCCGTTTGCTGTTAAACAGTATAGACAAAACTAAGCTATGACAATGTACAGTATTTGCCATGGTACATAGAAAAAAATATGTATAATAACACTTTCTAGTCAGTTGACCTAGGAGTTTTAAAAAATGATACTGTTAATAGTGTTGCCCTCCACATTTTTAAGGTTCAGTGCAAAACAAAGTGTGGTCAGAAACACTATCACTGAACCTATTTTCCTTAATGAAGATAATCCTTCAATGAATATATGTTTTCATCCCTTATTAAGCTTATACACCTATTTTACCTTAATTTTGGCTTTGGGGCATAAATAATATTTTGCTAAAATAACAAAGCTTTGATAATTGGATTTACAAAGATAAAATGTTTAACTTTGACTAAATAAGCTGAAAGAGCTCTGTCCAAATATAGAGAATAATTTATGATCATTCAAAATTCAGTGAAACATTAATATTTTTTGAAAGAGGCTCATATGAAAGACAGATGCCATTTAAAATGGTTACTGGCCGGGCGCGGTGGCTCACGCCTGTAATCCTAGCACTCTGGGAGGCGGAGGTGGGAGGATTGTTCGAGGTCAGGAGTTCGAGACCAGCCTGAACAAGAGCGAGACCCCGTCTCTACTAAAAATAGAAAGAAATTACAACTAAAAATATATAGAAAAAATTAGCCGGGCATGGTGGCCCATGCCTGTAGTCCCAGCTACTCGGGAGGCTGAGGCAGAAGGATTGCTTGAGCCCAGGAGTGTGAGGTTGCTGTGAGCTAGGCTGACGCCACGGCATTCACTCTAGCCCGGGCAACACAGTGAGACTCTGTCTCAAAAAAAGAAAAAAAAAAAAATGGTTACTGACATGAAAAGCAAAAGCAAAATAATATTAATATATCACATGCTCCCTATTTAGGATTAAAAGACAAAACAAAGTTTTCTGACTACATTAGGAAGGAATGAAGAACTACATCTACTTAAGCCGGTTTTTTTTATTTTATTTTATTCCTTTTCCCTGAAGTCAGGCAATCCTACAGGTTCTAACTACCCTAATTCTCTACATCTGCGGTCCCCAACCCCTAGCCCACAGTGGGTACCAGTCTGCAGCCTATTAGGAACCAGGCCGCACAGCAGGAGGTGAGCGGCAGGTGAGCGAGGGAAGCTTGGTCTGTATTTACAGCCGCCCCCATCACTCGCATCACCGCCCGAGCTCCGCCTCCTGTCAGGTCAGCTGCAGCATTAGATTCGCATAGGAGCCGAACCCTACTGTAAACTGGGTGTGCGAGGGATCTAGGTTGCGGCTCCTTATGAGAATCCAACGCCTGATGACCTGAGGTGGAGCTGAGGCGGTGATGCTAGCGCTGGGGAGTGGCTGCAAATACAGTTTATCATCAGCATGGAGGAACAATAAATGTACTGTGCTTGAAGCCTCCCAAAACCATCCCTCCCTCACCCGTTCCATGGAAAAACTGTCTCCCGTGAAACTGGTCCCTGGAGCCAAAAAGGTTAGGGACCACCACTCTACATGGCTCTCTGCTCAAATTGATAGCATCTAGATACGTTTAGCCTTTAACACAGATAATATATGGAAACTAACTTCCTATTTTAAAAAAAAAAAACAAAAAGTTATTTCTAAAACAACTAGGTAAACATCAACCAGGTCTACCTTTTGCTTTTGCAGTTTTCTGTTTAAAATAAGAAATTGTTGTAACTTTCTGTGGCTTTTAGAAGATTTAGACAATGGCAAAAGAACTTCAGGGAGTGTGAAAAGCTTGTCTCCTAGGCTGCTTCCCCAACCCCACATCGACTGAAATACAAGCCTCCCACATTAATCGTTAGCAAATTTATTCCACTTAAGATAAAATTAGACCAAATCTGATCAAATGGAGAAAATTTGTGAACATCAGCAGGGCAGACATTTTCACATCCTTGAATTTATTATGAATAAGAACATGTAAAAACCTTAAAATCATATAACCACAACTGACTATCCAGCCCTCTTTCCATTTATTTCCTCATCTTTCTGCTTTGTAACGTCTCTTGGCTTGGCTAGAACGCATTTTCTTCCCACTGCAACATCCAGCAGTGTTATAGACATCTGTTTTCTATGTCTTCTAGCAACCCACGTGTTCTTCAAATTCCCAGCATTAAAAGTTAAACGGTAAAGAAATATTAAGCAAACACACAATGAGTATACATTGATTAATCACTTTGCACTCATTTCATGTTTTTATCTTCCATACTTAAAGACAGGCAAATACACACCTTCCCACACAATCCCAACAGCAATCAATAAATCAAGGTTTTGTTTTGGGCCCCCACCAACCTTACACTGTGAATGAGGGTAAGCTAGAGCTCAGCAGCACATATAATCCTTCATTTCAGAATAAAAATAATCAACATCTGTGGGGAGATAGAGGCCTCAGGGCCTTCCCATTACACCCTCTCTTCCCTTTACCAACTCATCTTTCAGAGTTACACCTAAACCCTCTGCATAGAAATTCCTTCCCTGCTGACCCAATCCAAAGCAGATCCCAGAGTTACTCTTTCTCAAAGTGTAATCTCTAATTATATGTAATGTCTGTCTCCTGCACCAGCCCTTACACTTCCTAAGGAGAAAGTTCATGAATGTTTCATTCTCTACTATATGATCAGCAACTAACACAGAGACAAATACGGCACTGACAAAGAATTTGCTGCATGAATGAGTGATGTGATCAAGCACAATCCTTTTTGCAACATCATCGGGATAACAGACAAATAAAACCTCAAATGACAGCACCCATATAAATCAGTATCTTCTAGAAAAAAAAAGAATAGGGGAAGGTAGTATAACTTTAGAAAACTCAGAATTAAATTCAACGCTTCAAAACCTGCCAAAACATCAAGTGAAAAAGGCTTAAAATCTATTTTAACACGGCTTACATAAGATTGTTTAATTGCAGCCACTCAGACTCAAAACGCTTTCTTAGAATCTCATCACCATCTGGACAGTTTGCAACATGAGGCATCATCTAGGTGCTTAATATTCGTGTCCACAGAAAAAGGAAGAAGATACAAAATAGACAGCTTAGTAGTTATTAGGCTTAAGGATCAAAGATGCCATTACCTGACTAAGCTACGTCTCTCCGCTCTCAGGCACTGATCCTGCAAAAGACACACTCTACCCTTGGCTCCCTGAGGAAAGTCAGTAAAAACCTCAGCCTCTGAGAGAATCCACTTCTACGACAGTCCCCCAGCCATGTTTGTTTTCTCAACCACCAGGTAACTACTTGATGTGTCCATCCATTTTAAACTCAATACTTTTAAAGATTACTAAATCTTCTTTAATAATCTATAGAGGGACAGGTAAATAGGACAAATCCCAGCCCACAATGGAATGGAATGAAAAGCCACACGGTGCAGCAGCTGAAAGAACCGTTCCGCAGGTGGGGAGCTGTTCTGCATCCTGGCATCAAAACTCCGCTTCTGCTGCCGCCCATTCACCCCGTCAGCCACCAAAATCTGTGGGCAAATGCTCAGTAGCAGGATTGCTGAACTACTTTTCGTTCTTTGAGGAATCCCCATACTATTTTCCAGGGCTGTACTAGTTTGCAGTCCACCAGCAGAGTCTAAGTGCTCCTTTCTCTCTGCCTCCATGCCTACAGCACTCACGTACACCACAGGAGGGTAAAACTCAACGGAAATCACGCGGGTGGGAGGGCAGCGGAGGGGATGGGTGAAATCATACCTAACAGGTACAATGTACACCACCTGGGTGATGGGCACACTTAGAACTTTGTCTCAAGCAGTACAAAAGCAGTCCATGTAACCAAAACATTTGTACCCCCACAATATACTGAAATGAAAAAAAAGAAAAAAAATCTGTGGTGCCTACTCTGTGGACACCACCCTCTGGCCACATTGCCTCTTTTCTCTAGACCCTTTCTTGCCCCAGGGCCTTTCCATAGCCATTTTCTCTGCTTGAAAAGCTCCCTGCCTGCTCCTGACATGACTGGCTCCTTCTTATCTGTGAGATCTCAGCTTCAAAGTCATTCCCTCCAAGTGGCCATTCCCTGACTAGCACACAGACCCTTCAGGTCCCCTTGTTCTCTTGATCCAGATATTCCTTTACTTAACAACACTTAGCAGAATTTATAATTACATAATTGCTTTGCTTCATCCATCACCTCTACTAGTTTTTTCCCCTGATCTGGGCCTTAGTTTCTCTATCTTTTTTTTAAATGCATTTTTTATTGTTACATAATAATTATACATATTTAATGCGGTACATGTAATATTTTGACATATGCATAAAATGTGTAATGACCAAATCAAAGTAATCAGGATATCCATCTACTCAAACAGATTTTGAGATCCTTGAGTACAGAAACCACTTCTGTTTTGTGTATCAATGTAACACCAGTGACTACCCCAGCTCCTAGCATATAAAATGTGCTTAATATTTAGTGAACAAATAAATATATTTTTCACTGAAAGATGCTTACTCAAATCTGCATTTTATAAATATAGAAAATAAACAGTATTGAAACACTTCCCCCTTAATTTCATTTTTTTTGCTTTTTTCAAATACTAAAGACCAGATTGTTTTTCTTTTTTTTTTTTTTTTTTGAAACAGAGTCTCACTCTGTTGCCCAGGCTAGAGTACCGTGGCATTAGTCTAGCTCACAGGGACCTCAAACTCCCAGGCTCAGGCAATCCTACTGCTTCAGCCTCCTGACTAGCTGGGACTACAGGCATGCACCACCATGCCCGGCTAATTTTTTCTATATATTTTTAGTTGTCCAGCTAATTTCTTTCTATTTTTAGTAGTGATGGGGTCTTGCTCTTGCTCAGGCTGGTCTTGAACTCCTGAGCTCAAACCATCCACCTGCCTCGGCCTCCCAGAGTGCTAGGATTACAGGCGTGAGCCTCTGTGCCCAGCCCCAGATT